GGCGGGGACGCTGCGCTCTTGGAGCCGGGGAGACAGGAACAGGCTCTAAGAAATGCTCCTGCTGCTCTAACAAGAAGCAATAGATTAAAAAGCTAGTTAAAAATTCATCCAAGAGAGGCAGAGTTTCCCAAGCATATCAGAGTTAATATTTATAAAGGGGATTGTTGCTCAGTCTCAATTATCCTAAAAGCTTGGTACAATTGATGCATTGGAGAAACCACGAACACAGGCATGTCAAGGGAAAACCATTCCCTGTGACCGCTAACAAAATGCAATCAGATCTGCAACATGTGGAGCCAATTGATTTTCAACAAGTTATACAATGTAAACAAATGATTGATTCTGGGGCTCCTTTTATTTCTGTGCAAGCAGTCAGAAATCTCTCCAACTACTCTGAGCAGGTAACGCTGGTGGTAAACAAGGGCTGCAGAGGGGCAGCATGCAGTCCTTTCATCAACCTGCGAACAGCAGGAGCTTTGATTTCTTTTTCCCCCAGCCCCTTAAGCAGCCACTAAATAATCAACAACTCCTCAAGTAAGCAACCCCCTGATCATGTGAAATCTTTCTCTTGCCAGTGGTCATGTCGGACGGGCTTCTGCCTTCAATGAGAGTCAGGAGTTTTTTATTGCTTTTGCATTTTGCCTCCTCTGATGTTTCCAGCCTCCCTCTGATTTACCTGAGACAGATGAGACAGGAATATCTCCAAGAGCTTTATCACTTCTCTCTGTCAGCGGCGGCTGCTCAGTCAACAGTGCGCTGGTGTGCGTCTGGGCCGGCCGTGCGGCGGCTGCTCCAACCGTTCTCTGCTCCCGCTGAAACCAATAAGCTCTCCTCCACCGCACCAACTCGCTCCCTCTCATGGCCCCCGGTTCTGTCAAATTAAATCTCAGCCCATCACCATCAGACTGCCAACGCCAGCACGTTCCCCCAGGCACTCCTGGGCACCCCCGGGCTGGGAGCTGGCGCCCCAGGAGCTGGGGCTGCCAGTGCAGCGCCCCCCCTTCCCCAGCATGTCACTGGGGTGCCGACTGCCGGCATGTCGCACCCCCAGCCCGCGCAGGGGCCCGGGCGCTGCCCCTCGGCAGGGACGCAGACGGTTTCTCCGCGCACCCCTCGGGGACCGCCGGGCTCCGCACATGCTGTGATGCAAAACCTGCTTTCGGCAGGGGCCTGCATGCGCCGGCACCGCTGGCACCCTGTGCCCATCACACCCCAGAGCAGCCCAGCGCCTCCCCGCCCCGCACTCTGCCCGAGCGCCTCATCTCTGCACCCACACCCATGCCGGACGGAGCGCTGGCCCGGCCCAGCCGGCCCTGCACACCGGCAAGCGCGGCCGGCTCGCGTCACACCCCATGTTTTACTTCTCCATCACCCCACTGCTCCTTTTTCCCCCCACTTACGCTCCTGGGTATCAGTCCCACGCGCTGGGGCTGTTCTGGTGACGCAGAGACTCTGGGCAGAGCGTGCTCCTGCTGCAGCTCGCTTGGCCCCGGCTCCCCCCATCCCGAGCTTCGCAGGACCACGAGGGCACTGTTGGGATCACTGATCGAGCACCTGAGGAGAAGAGAGCCACACTTCCATGAACTGTGATAATTATTGCAACAGCAGCAATAAAAATGCCTTTCCAGAGCTCCACCACCTGCTTGTTTGCACCCTGTTCGCGGGACGATGTGCAGTTGGGTGTTGCCATAGTGCAGGGTGCCGGGGGTCCCAGGGGAGGGGGAGTGCCCCCGGGGACACCCAGCCTGCAGGAACCCCAGCTCCTCTCTCCAGGGGCCTCTGGGGTGGGGCCCTTGTGGGACGCCCCGCCGGGGGCCCCTCTGCGAGCAGCGAGCCATGCAGGCGGCGGCGCAGACGCCGTGCAGAGGGTTGGTGGTGCCGGCGGCACGTCGCGCGGCTGCTGGGCACAACGCCCGCTCCTGGTGCCAAAGTCTGGCACCAGTCCCCACAAGTGGGCACAAATTCATCCCAAAACACAAACAAAGGAGGAGGCAGCAGAGTCGTCACTTGTGTGGGCGCTGAGAGATTCCCGCACAGGGAGGCACTTCACCAGGGCCAGGAGTATTTCTGTTTAAAATTAAAATGGTCTTTTTAAAGCAGATAAAAACTCGTGAAAGCAACCATGAACATCTGCGATCTCACAGCAAAGACTTTGCTGGCTCTTTTAGAAATTGCCCAGCTCCCATTGCAATATCAGCATAATTCTGTCTATTTCAAACTTGCAAGATATTTATATTTCAAATAATTTTTACAGAGTTCAACTGCGAATGGCAAGCTGGTTTTTCCACTTATGTATTAATTGTGTGTGTGTGTCCAGTGCTAAGCCTTACTGCCATGCAATTTGTACAACATAATTAACCATGTAGAAACCGTAATACACTGTGTTTGGAAGAGTTACATCCAGTTAATCTAATTGACTAATAACATGTTTTCATTTAGCAGCACGTACTGTATTTCCAGTGATTGAATTAATGTCATGTTAACGGCTGCTTTTTGCAACAACATTTGGCATAAATTGCATTAAAAATTGATGTTTGTACAAATGTATTTTGAATACAGCTCAGCATGTGGCCTGGGAAAACACTCCTGTTGTTTATTAAATCAGCAAAGTGTGCAAGTGTGCTCCGGAGAGCGGCACCCCCAGGGCCCTGCCCGCGTCCGGCCCTCCCGGCTGCAGGACCGACTCTCCCCGCTGCCTCGCGTGAGCCTGGAACAGGCTCCCAAGGGCTCTCTGATGATGGGGGGGCTGTGCTGGGGAGCTCTGGGCACCTGCCGGGGAGGGGGCAGACCTGGAGACACCATCAGCTGCGTCCACCAGTGCCCGTCTGGCCTGCCTGCCCCCTGGCCCTGCCATCCTCCCGCGGCGGCCACGGGGACGGGCCGAAAACGCGTTT